TGTGTGATGGGGCTGTCCTGCCATACCTCCTCCACCTCCTCCTCCTCCCGCAGCTCTGCTCTGCCCTCCCCCCGACCCGCCAAGGGAGACCCACGCACCACCCGGCCCCCGCGCCCTGCCTCCTCCACGGAGGCAGGGGCCGCAGGAGGCGAGGAGCGCGCGGCCCCCGGAGCGAGACTCCCTGCTAGGGGGCCACATGCGAAGCCTGCTCCCACCCTCCCCCCCAGAAATCGAGAGGGGGGGGTAGGGGTAGGGTTCGCGTGTGGCCCCCTCTGGCCATCGTTTGGACGTCCATCTCCTGTGTTTTTTGGGGTTTCGTGCGCGTTTTTTTCGCCAAATGATCCAGGATGCTCCTCGATGGCCCTCGCCGAAGGAAAAACGTACACGTCCGAGCGATGCCAAGCCCTATCCCCTGCTCCACCCGCCGGGACCCGCGGCGCGCCCGAGAAGGCTGCCGCCGTGGGCCGAGACCACCCCCCCGTCGGCGGCGCGCCCAAAGGGAGGCGGGGGGCGATGGGGGGAGGGGGCCTCCGGGAACCCAGACCCCCTCGGGCAATGAAAACATCATGACGGGAGGTGTTTCGCATGTTCGGGAGCGGCCAAGAGGGGGGTGTCCAAGAGGGGGGGGTGCAGATCATGGCCGGCGGCACGTGCGTGGCCCAGCTGGGGGGCCAGGGACGTCATGAAAGAAGAAGGGGCGCCATGAAATCTGCGGAGATATCATGGCCCGCGCCATGATATCCACCCCCCCCTAGTCATCACCCCCCTCTTCTCCGCCCCCGACATTTCTGGCCTCTGGGGGCAGTCACCAGGCCTCGGGAGCGTCAAAAAACGGCTCAGGATGCAAAGCCGGTCATGGGGAAGGGGTCGGGACCTTTGGGGGTCGACGTAACGAACAAAAACATTACGTCGGGGGTCTGGGAAGGAGGGCTGCTTCTCAGAAGGCGCCGGCCTCACATCTATAGACAAGGCCCGCGCCTTCTGAGAAGCAGGGGTGGTTCCAAGAAGCCCTCCCCCCTCCCCCCACCCCCCCTTTGCGCGTGGCTGACCCACGTCGCTTGCTCTCGCCAGGTAGGCGGCGGAAATACGGTGAGGGCATCGGATGAGGAACAGATAAGAAATCCAGGGTCTGGGAGCCGGTGGAACACCAACTGAGGCTTCGCCGCGGCTCTCACGGCCTGCCTCATCATCTAAGGAATCCTCCAGTGTCTGAAACCGTCTGGGCACATTCCTCAACAGACGCCCCCACGGTGAATGGGTCTTACGCGAGATGACGTGGCGACCTTACGCGGCGCGCACGCGCGACCTTACGCGGGCAGCTTGCGGGCCAATGTCGGCACAGACGGGCCCCGGTTCTTCCGTCGCTCGGGTGGAGTTGGCCTACAAGCAAGAGCGGCCCTGGGTAAGAGTGACCTTCGGGGCGCGGCTGTTCGGGGGCCGCAGGGGGGACCAGAACACAAGCGCGCACGACGCCACTGTCGCATCGCGTTCGGCGATCGGGGGACCCCATTGGGCTTAGGTCGGGCATGTCCTCCTACAGGCGGATTTTTACAATGATCAAACAAACCCTGAAAACGAATCAAAAATAGTCGAAAAACTGTTCCCAGACTATCTTTTGACGAACTTTTGAATAGCATCCTCCTGTGGAAGACATGCCCGACTTCACACTGGGCCCGCACCAAAGGTCCCAACGGCGAGAGGTCACTCTTACACGTCGTTCATTTCTAATCGTGCTCGTTTCTGATGCTGCTCGTTTCTCATTGTTCCCGAGCCCCCAAGTGGCCAGAAAGAGGCCCAGGATAGAACAAGTAGACATGAAAGGATCTTGGCCCCCCAAAAAATCAAAGAACTGTCGAAGACTTGGAAATCAACCATGTGCACGTCTTGCCGAGGAAGGCTCAAAGCCCTGAGCTCGGGAGCGGCCAAGAGGGGGGTGTCCAAGAGGGGGGGGGTGCAAATCATGACCGGCGGCACGTGCGCGGCCCAGCAGGGGGGGCCAGGGACGCAGTGAAATGAGAAGAGGCGCCATGAAATCTGGGGAAATATCGTGGCCACCGCCATGATATCCACTCCCCCCTAGTCCTCACCCCCCTCCCCAGACCCCCAACGTCATGACTTTTTCATGACGCGACCCCCAGAGGTCCGGACCTCTTCGCCGGGACCGGTTTTTCACCCCGAGTCGTTTTTTGACGGTCCCGAGGGCCGGTAAGGGCCCCCGGAGGCCGAAAACATAGAAAAACCTCCCGTCGTGATTTTTTCATGACTCGAAGGGGTCTGGGTCTTTTCCTCCCCCGATGAGCGTTGCGCGCGGGGCTCCCGGGCCCGAGGAGCTGCCGCCGCACGCCGGCGGGCGCGCGGCGCCCGCCGCGCCGCAGCCCGGCGAGGGCTCGGGCGCCCGCCGACCGCAGCTCGGCGAGGGCCCGGGCGCTGCTGACCGGGGGGGGCGCTGGGTGAAGGCACGCGCCAGGCTCTCCGTGAAGGCACGTGCCAGGAGGAGGAGGGGGAGGGGGAGGAGGAGGAGGAGGAGGAGGAGGAGGAGGAGGAGGGGGAGGAGGAGGAGGAGGCGGAGGAGGAGGAGGAGGAGGCGGAGGAGGAGGAAGAGAAACGGAGGAGGATGGGAGAGGATTTAGTGGGCCCTGGAAACGACAGGGCCGTGTTTTTACCGGTTCCGTTTTGCCGTTTTTGTTCGCCGGTTCCGACGCCGTTTCTTTACCGGTGCCGTCGCCGTTGTTGGACCGGTTCCGGCTCCGGCTCCAACCTGGAGCCGTTTTTTTGCCGTTTCCGGTCGCCGTTTTTTTGCCGTTTCCATGTTCAAGGGACATTGTTTTGGAAACGGTGAAAAAACGGCCCTGCCGTTTCCAGGGCCCACAAAGGCCAGGATCCCGTATCTGGTGATTTGGACGCCCGAAATGGGTACGGAAAACATGGGTACACTGCCCGAAACACCGAAGATTGTCCCAAACCACCCGCGGCCGCTGTTGGGCAGGCGGCCTTCTGCCTCCAATGTACACTGGCCGCGGCGACACCGACGGCGAGTCCGGTTCAAAATGAGCAGGAACTGCTGTTGTGACTACCTGCCAGACCACCCCAACCCAACCCGAAGACCCGAATCTCGGGTTGGGGGGGGTAAGGGTTCCACACGTGTTTTTGTCGATGTTTCCCGACCCCCCCCCCCACTGGAAATCGAGGGTAAATCCGAGCCTTCGGGTTGGGTTGGGGGTGGTTTGGTGGGTTGTGAGTTGGGCATCGTACCCATTCTTTCCATACCCATTTTGTTCGTGCCGAGATGCGGGCGGCGGTGATATCCCCGTGGCCCGTCCACGCCCGGAGGCCCACCGGCTTCCGGGCCCTTGGCGTCCTCATCCAAGTGGAAGCTGCGAACGGACGCGCTGTAATCTCGGGGTGGGCTGCTTCAGCTCCCGCCAGCTTCGAGGGGCAACGGTGGCGGGGGGGACTGGCATAGCGTGAGGCTGGCCATGTCGCCCTGCAGGCGGATTCCGGAGGAAAAGTAAACGATGCCCGAAGCATCTTCGAAAATAGTCCGACCAAAAATCGCCCCCAGTTTAAAATCTTGACCATTCTGGAGTATGCCTCCTGTAGAGAGACGGGCCCCATTTAAGCATAGGAGGAGGAGGAGGAGGAGGAGGAGAAGGAGGAGGAGGAGGACGAGGAGGAGGAGGAAAAGGAGGGGGAGGACATCTTGGGGCTATCGAGGAGCGGGGACGCGTCGACGTGGCATCGGCGGCGCGCCGCCGCGCCCGGGCCCCCGACCTCGGAGCCGAGCCGCGCGTGCCTGGGCAGGCGGAGGCCGCCGGGCCCGCCTTCTCCGCGATCGCAGGGCGATGCGGGGTCGACGCAGACCCCCCCCCCGTCCGCTTGGGTCGGGCACGTCCCCCTACGGGCGGAGCTGGGGCGAAAAACTTCAATATAGCCTGGCGAAAGGCCCAACCATACGCAGTTGAGAGCGCCGCCATTGCGAATCCCGTCCTCGGTGGAGCTCCCTACGAGGCCAAGAACCGCGTGAGGGGTGTGCCGATGTATGGCGGGGAACGCAACGCGGAAGAAGACGATAGGTCCCTGGGCGTCCCTGGGCAGGCTGAGGGTGCCGGGCCCCCCTTCTCCGCGATCGCAGGGCGATGCGGGGTCGACGCATACCCTCCCCCGTCCGTTTGGGTCGGGCACGTCCCCCTACGGGCGGAGCTGGGGCGAAAAACGTAAGATACTCGAAGGATGCCCCACGAATGTTCAAACATTGTATTTAATCAGCAGCAGCATAATAATAATAATTATTAATAATAATAATAATAATGATGATAATAATAATAATAGTAATAGTAATAATAATAATTTTAATAATTTTTATTATTATTATATCGCCCCCGTACTATTCAGGGATATATATATATATATATATAAGACATGGTTGTTTCTGAATATTTCTCCTGTAGAAGACAAGGCCCGACATAATCGCACGTGGGGACACCAAAAGGCACCAATACCGACACCTCCCGGACCTCTCCCGGGGCGCGTTCTGACCAGGTATCTCCAAGCGAATCCAGCGGTGCCGACGAGGGCCTCCCAGGAGGCCCAGAAAGGGGAAAACGGCCGAAGGATAGAGGTACGGGCACCTTTTTCCTCCTCTAAGATAGATGGAGGAACAAGCAACCACATAAGCATAAACATTTGGAGGTCCGCGCGGATTTCCTGGATCCGCGCTGGACCCCCCTCCCTGGCGCGCGGAGCGCGCCAGGGGCGGCGCCGGAGGCGCCGCCGGCGGGGCCCAGCGCGGATCCGAGAAATCCGCGCGGAGCGCCAAAAGTTTATGTTTATACAGTCGGGGCGTTGACCTAAGGAACCCTAAATAAGGAGCGAGGCCCCTCTTTTCCATAAGTTAAACTTCGATTTCCTATCGAAGACATAAGGAAAACCTGAGGCAAGCTGCGAAACACTTAAGGAACGCGGAGCCCCTCCCCAACGAAAAGGGTTCCTTCTTCAAGACCCCTACTGTAGCGCTTCTTGTCCTTACGAGGTGCGGGTCTTTTCTCCCCTGCACACGCCGATCCCCTCCGATCGCTGCCCCCGAGGCTTCCGCGAGCCCTCCGCGGGACTCCGCACGGCGGGCCGCCCTCGCCCTGGCTCCGCCGCAGGGGAGGGAGAGGGCAGCAGCAGGGCAGGCACGTCCTCCTGCAGGCGGGTTTTGGCAGGAAGGTTTCTGCTCCTCCTCCTCCTCCTCCTCCTCCTCCTCCTCCTCCTCCTCCTCCTCCTCCTCCTCCTCCTCCTCCTCCTCCTCTCCGCGGGGTGGTCCAGTGCGCTCGCACGGACCTTGCTGGGCAAAGCACAGCGCACACCCACGACCTTGCCCCTCTGCAGAATCGCAGACCCGCAGAGGAGCCACGCAGGCAGCGCCCCTCTTGGAGCCACGGCCGAAGCCTGCTGCCCCGCCCCTGGCCCGGGCGGTGAGCGAGGGAGCGGAGCAGCCGTAAGGCAACGAATCACCGAGTCACCGAGTGGGATGACCGCGGCCTGTGAGAATCTTCTTCCCCAGAGCCAAGACTCAGGGATGATAACATCGGAATTGCTCTGAAATCTAAGACATAGTCCAGAGAGCACGAAGAACCGTTCCCTGACGATTTTTTGACCCTTCTTGAGCTTTCCTCCTGCAGGGGTTGGCGGCGCGCAAGGAGGGGGGTGGGGGGAGGGGGGAGGCTTCTTAGAAGCACCCCTGCTTCTTAGAAGGCGCGTGCCTTGTCTGTAGACGTAAGCAGGCGCCTTCTAAGAAGCAGCTTCCTTCTAAGAAGCCTTCCCCCCCCCCCACCCCCCTCTGCGCGCCGCCAAAGAGGGACATGCCCAACTGTAAGGCTAGCACCCCGACCCCTTGAAGGCGGCGCTCCCTTTCCGGAGCGCCCCGGGCGCAGGCGCCCCGGCAACCGAGGGCCGCCCCGCCCAGAGCAGGCCCGAAGAGGCCCCCAAAAGAGGGCCCCAAGAAGAGGCCCTCGGGCCCCAGGCTCAGAGATCCAGCGCAGTGAAAAAATCAAGACTACGGGACGTGAAAACGACCACAGCCACTGCTTTTCTTTTGTTGCCGCCTTCCAGCCAGCAGAAACAAGGCAGTGGTTGTGGTCATCTTCGTTAAGCTTGGCACCAGGGAATGACCACAACCACTGCTTCTTTTTCGGCCGGCTGGAAGGCGGCGCAAACAAGAAGCAGTGGCTGTGGTCATTTTCCCGTCCCGCAAAGACGGAGGTGTTTCGCCGTTTTCGGCCTCTATATACAGGGGCTCCGGGGCACACAAATATGAGTAGACACGAATCCCAGGATTCCCAATATCTTCCCATATGTTCTGGGTTTTCTTCCCCCCCACGTCCCATATTTTCCCAGATTTTCCGGAGGGTCGACGATTGCTGGTGTCTGCGTGTATTTTCCCCTCCTGACTCTACCTCGCCGGGCCCCGGGGCGGTCCCAAAAAACGACTCAGGCCCCAAAGTTCGTCGCAAGACGGGGCCCCAGAGGTGCCCCAAAGGGGCCCAAAACGGTCCAACAGGGCCCCCAGGTCCCGGGGGAAGGGTCGAGATGTCCGGGGACCCCACATTGGGAAAAAACAACAACAACAAAAAAAAACGGATCTCTGGGGGGAGCTCCCCCAAGAGGCCCCACCAAAAGGCCTCGCCCGTGGAGTTCGTCCCTCTTCTGGGGGTCGGCGGAATGGCGTAAGCCTCTTGAACTGCACGGCTTCCCCCGGGGCCGTAGGCGACCCGAGGAGGAGGAGGTGGTGGAGGAGGAGGAGGAGGAGAAGGAGGAGGAAAAGGAGGAGGACGGGGAGGAGGACGGGGAGGAGGAGGGGAGGAGGAGGAGGAGGAGGAGGAGGAGGAGGAGGAGGAGGAGGAGGAGGAGGGGGAGGAGGAAGAGGAGGAGGAGGAGGAGGAGGAGGAGGAGGCGGAGGAGGAGGAGAAGGGGGAGGAGGAGGAGGAGGAGGAGGGGGGGTCGCCTAAGCCCTTCGGAGAAACCCTCCACCCTGACCCCTCGAAGGCAGCTTCCCTTTCCGGAGCGCCCCGAGGGCGAGCGCCGCCCCCTCCTAGAGGCGGAGCTGTGAAGGACTGGACGGCGGCCGGGAGAGCGAGGAGGCAGAGAGGCGGGAAGGCGGCGGCGTGAAGCGCGCGCGGCTCATGCGCCGCCCGGCCCGCCCGGCGGCAACCAGCGGAGCCCCGCTGCCGCAGGCGTCAAGCCACCTCTGCCGGGGTCGCCGGGGTGGCAGGCGCCGACGCCGACTTGGCACGGTACTCCTCCGAGGCATCGTCGTCCACGAACCAGACGAGGTTGCCGCTCGAAGGCTGCACGCCCCCCGCGGGGACGCAGCCGTCCGCGACGCCCAGCGCCACCGCGAGGTTGGGCGACTTGCTCGCGCCGGTGCAAACAAAGAAGACCTGCGCGGCGGCGTTGAGCACCGGGTACGTCAGCGTGATGCGCTGCGGCGGCGGCTTGGGCGAGTCCTCGATGTGCGCGACCCAGCGGTCGGTGACCTGCAGAAGCGGGTGGTCCGGGAAGAGCGAGGCCGTGTGACCGTCGGGGCCCATGCCGAGCAGCACGAGGTCGAACGCTGGCGGCCCGTCGCCTGGGAACACCGCCCGCAGCTGCGCCGTGTACGCCGCCGCGGCCTCCTCGGCCGAGAGCGAGGCGTCCACGCAGTAGACGTGCTCGCGGGGGATGCCGACCTTGCTGAAGAGGGCCTCGTCGCAGGCCCGGAAGTTCGAGTCCGCGTCGTCGAGCGGCACCACCCGCTCGTCGGCGAAGAACACGTGCCACCTCGAGTAGTCGACGCCCTCGGCCGCGAGCAGGCCGGAGGCGAGCAGCACCGGCAGCGAGCCGCCGCTGAGGGCCACGGCGAACTTGTCCGCCGTGCACCGCGCGGCCACCTCGGCGACCGCGGCGCCGAGGCCGGCGCAGAGCTCGGCGCCGGAGGCGAAGCTGCGGACGGCCGCGGGCATGGCGGCGACGGGGCGGGAGCGGCCGCGGCAGCTCGCGGCCAGGCCCGTGCAGGGGCCTCTCGGGGTCACGGGGCTGGCCGAGGGCGCGTGCCCACGCGGCCCGAGGAGCTCGGGCCGGGGGAGGCCTGCGCCCGAGACGCGGGGGCGCGGGGAGGGGGGCGGCAGCAGGAGGACCGGGAGGAGGAGCGGTGCAGACCGGGCACACACCTCGGATGCTTCAACGCATCCTCCCGTCCAGTACAGGGCAGTTTTTGATACATTGGATTTTTTATATATAAGATCTGTAATGCGTGATTAATGTATGAATGAATGTATGCATGAACTCGTCGTTGTTTTAGAATTAAATCCCTGCGTTTTTTTATACATGATCCACACGCGGAGCATGCATTAAAAACGGCACTGTACGAAGCCCATTCCTCATGAGTCGATGCGGGTGCTACCTTTCCTTCAGTTCTGGCATGCGCATCAACGGTCAGATTAAGCTTGGACCACAGAACGTGGCAACATGAAATGAAACGACAGGAAGTCACCATCCATAGGATCTTTAAAATTATCTCAGTGCGACCCTACCTAGGAGTTGGAGCCCCTAGGAAAGCAGCATTAGTAGTACCAGTAAAGCTAAGCTACAGCCAAGCTAAAGCTATGGTAAAGCTAACCTACACCGAAGCTAAAGCTAAGCTAAAGCTAAGCTCAAGCTAAGCTCAAGCTAAGCTCAAGCTGAGCTAAAGCTAAGCTAAAGCTAAGCTAAAGCTGAGCTAAAGCTAAGCTAAAGCTAAGCTAAAGCAAAGCTACAGCGAAGCTACAGCTAATCTAAAGCTAAGCTAAACTTAAGCTAAAGCTAAGCTAAAGATAAGCTAAAGCTAAGCTGAAGCTAAGCTAAAGCTAAGCTGAAGCTAAGCTAAAGCTAAGCTAAAGCTAAGCTAAAGCTAAGCTAACGCTAAGCTAAAGCTATGTTAAAGCTAAGCTACCGCTAATCTAAAGATAAGCTAAAGCTAAGCTCAAGCTAAGCTCAAGCTAAGCTCAAGCTAAGCTAAAGCTAAGCTAAAGCTAAGCTAAAGCTAAGCTAAAGCTGAGCTAAAGCTAAGCTAAAGCTAAGCTAAAGCTAAGCTGAAGCTAAGCTAAAGCTGAGCTAAAGCTAAGATCAAGCTAAGCTAAAGCTAAGATGAAGCTAAGCTAAAGCTAAGCTAAAGCTAAGCTAAAGCTAAGCTAACGCTAAGCTAAAGCTAAGCTAAAGCTAAACACAAGCTAAGCTAAAGTTAAGCTAAAGCTAAGCTCAAGCTAAGCTCAAGCTAAGCTAAAGCTAAACTAAAGCTAAGCTAAAGCTAAGCTAAAGCTAAGCTAAAGCTAAGCTAAAGCTAGAGTTAAGCTAAAGCTAAGCTAAAGCTGAGCTAAAGCTAAGCTAAAGCTAAGCTGAAGCTAAGCTGAAGCTAAGCTCAAGCTAAGCTCAATATAAGCTAAAGCTAGGCTAAAGCTAAGCTAAAGCTAAGCTAAGCTACGATGAGATAAGCAACGCTAAGCTAAGGGGACGTAGCTGGGGGAACCGCGGGGCGGATCCTGGGGGAACCGCCCGGGGCGAGGACCAGTGCCCGGCCCTTTTAAGCATACCGAGTAAGAACCCTTCTAGGCAGAGCCTAGGTAGGGAAATATACGATTTGTAATACGTGATTAATTTATGAATAAATGTATGCATGAACTCATCGTTGTTTTTAATACTAAATCCCCTCATCTTTTATACATGATCCACACGCGGAGCATGTATTAAAAACGGCACTGTACAGAGTCCCCTCCTCATGAGTCGATGCGGGTGTTACCTTTCCTTCTGTTCTGGCATGCGCATCAACGGTCAAATTAAGTTTGGACCACAGAACGTGGCAACATGAAATGAAACGACTGGAAGTCGCCATCCATTCATCGAGCTGGTAAAGAGATGAAGCGACTGCGATGGGTGCCGCAACAGAAGCACGTTTGGAAAAGAATCGCCCACTCTCCGTGCAATTGCCTGGCGTGCCAAGACTTACCACCACAACACCTGAGGGATTCGATGGCGAGAGGGCCATATGCAAACGCAGCCGCACCATATCCCTGCAACTGCCACCAGCCGTCTGGGCTGAGGTGGTTTGGAGCGTTTCCTTTTCCATCCGCCCCAGTGTTCCTTCTTCGGACAAGGGATCATTTCTGCTCGTCACTAACAATCACCCCCTCCCAAACCCGACCGGCGACAAACCAGGGACAATACCAACACCCCCCCGCCATGCCGTTCAACAAACAGTGCAAAATACACCTTGCGACCAAACTCTGGATCATGGTCGCATGCCCCTCGATCGCAAACTGTTTTTTGACAGGGGCAAAAGGGAGTGTTATGTGTATTGCCCCAACGTGCGCAAGCCCACACTGTCCCTGTCAAAAACCGATGCGACGTGCACACGCGCACGCTGCGGCATAATCTTGGACCATGCGCGGACGCCCTGCGATCCTTTTGCACTGTTGTCCGACAGGGAATCTGGGGGTGCCCCTGGCACGCGCGGCGCACCCGACGGGCGTCGCGCACGGAGCTGGCGTCATTCGCACTGGTTCCCGACGGTTATCGATGGCGGCCCGTTTTCGTGCTGAGACTCGGGTGCTACGTGCTTCTGCGGGGCGTTACGAAAAGAGCCTTGCCTTCGAGACTAGAAGGAGTGTTCATCTCTTCCGCGGCTGAAATCGGCGGAAAGGCGGCGGAAGGTCGGCGGAAGTAAAACGAGGCCGAATCCGCTGGCGGAAGCCGACGGAGAGGCGGCGGAAGGTGGAGGAAGTGAATAATGCGCCCCAAGTAGGGGGTTTCCGCAATCGCCCATGCGTTGGAAGGGCGGGCGGGGGTGAGCGAAGCGGCCTGCGGCTTGCGGGTAGCTTGGCCCCTCCCCCGTGCCCCCTGCCCACTGGGTTTGCGCAGGTGGGAGGGGGGGAGGCGAGAAGTTAGAGCGTCCAAGCAGGCCTCAGCTTGTCCCAAGTTTTGAACCCATCTGGGCCTCCTGGGGAAAAAAATGCTAATTGAAGCCCCCCTCCCCATTCGGACCAGTCGCCCCAAATATGACCCCAAGACGGCCCGAAAAGCCTACGAGAAAACCGTAGAAAAGGAACCAACGAAGCGCCCAAGAGACCTTCTAGAGGCCCCCAAGCCTCCAAGCGGCCCCTCGGGGGGCCCGAGAGGCCCCCCGGCCCCCCAGAGGCAGCCAAGACGTCCCCACAGGCCCCCCAAGAGCTGGCAATAGGCCCCACGATGCCCCGAAAGACCTCTAAGAATTCAGGGCAGCTCCCCTGGGCATCGTGTCTGGATGGGCTGGTGGGGATACTTTTTTGCTCGCGAGCGCAAGCGGAGGAGCCGCGCGCCGTCAACAAGATCCAGCGAAGACCTAAAAAGCAGCGGCTGGGAACGGGGCAAGGCGCGCGCAGCGAGCGAGAAGCCGAAAACGGAACAGTGGCCAAGCCCGCGTGCCGAAGAGTGACCCTCAGCAAGCTCGCCCTCAGCGAACTTGTCCGCGGCGACCTTCACCTCAACAAACGTGTCCTCGCCAAACTTGTCCACGGCTACGAGTCGGGGTGGGCCCAATGTAAATCACCACCGCCGTCGTCGAGTACGAGTCCTGTGGCCACAACACGTGGGCCAACCTCACGAAGGTGCCCTCAAAAGTCCTACATCAGCCGGCGATGCGCGCCGTCCACTCAGTCGACATACCACGGGGCAGAAACAACGCATGGACCCAGCAAAGGGCGACGGGTGCGTCGAGGTTGCACTGTGCTGTCCAGAGCACCTCCCGCAAGGAGACAGCCACAGGGAGAGGGCCCTTGTGTTTGCTGGCGCTGGTCCCAATGTCACGGGGGGAGCGCCAGGGGCCACGCAGACACTGTGGATGGCGGTCGCAGCTACCAGCCGCCGGAGCTAATAGCGGGTAAACCCGTGCACCTCCTGCGGGCGGACAGCCGCAAGAGGATGGACGGCCCAGACAACTCGGAGAGGCAATCGATATATCTCCTGGCGCAAGCGCCCCTGTAGGGAGCGCCGAGGGCCGAGGCCGTACTGTGGGTGGCGTCGCAGCTAACAGCCGCAGAAATAGTGAAGTCAATTGGCGCGCCCGTGCGCCTCCTGCGGGGGGACAGCCGAAGGAGGAGAACGGGCCAGACGGTTCAGGAAGTGCATGCCTGCTGGCCCCAGCGCCCCGGCTACCACTACTACTACAAATGATAGGACTACTATTACTACGACTACTATTATTACTACTACTACTACTACTACTACTACTACTACTACTACTACTACTACTACTACTACTACTACTACGACTACGACTACGACTACGACTACTACTACTACTACTACTACTACTACTACTACTACTACTACTACTACTACTACTTCCACTACTACTACTACTACTACTACTACTACTACTACTACTACTACTACTACGACTACTACTACTACGACTACTACGATTACCTGTACGACTGCGACTACGACTACGCTACTACTACTAGTACTACTACTACTACTACTACTACTACTACTACTACTACTACTACTACTACTACTACTACTACTACTACTACTACTACTACTACTACTACTACTACTACTACTACTACTACTACTACTACCACTACTACTACTACTACTACTACTACGACTACTACTACTACTACTACTACTACTACTACTACTACTACTACTACTACTACTACTACTACTACTACTACTACTACTACTACTACTACTACTACTACTACACTACTAATACTACTACGACTACTACTACTACGGCTACTGCTCTACTACGACTACTACTACTACTACTACTACTACTACTACTACTACTACTACTACTACTACTACTACTACTACTACTACTACTACTACTACTACTACTACTACCACTACTACTACTTACTACTTACTACTTACTACTACTACTACTACTATATACTACTACTACTACTACTACTACTACTACTACTACTACTCCTACTACTACTACTACTACTACTACTACTTCAACGACCGCTATTACTACTACTACTACCACTACTACGACCACTACTACGACCACTACGACGACGACGACGACGACGACAACGACGACGACTACTACTACT